ATCCGGCGTATCTAATGAAACGTTCGGTAATCGAACCCAATCGAACGATTGGTGTTCCATTGGGTTTGGTAATCGAACATAATCGAACTTACACTAAAATTTTGGTCAATCGAACAAAATCGAACGTTCGATTACCGAACGGCCGACAGTCGTACTCAATCAAACGCGGGATTACCGAACTCCTGCTTGTTTGATTTTTATGTTTAAATATTAACACTTATAAAAAACGTACAGTGCATAACCGAACACTGACATTCAGTTTGATACTTTGGCGTTTTTCTATTAATCCCATTCAATAGAGGTTGATTACCATTACTTCTGCGTGATTAACTTATCATTAGAAATGGATTCCGAACAAAATCGAATCGGATTGAGTTCGATTGCGTTCGATTTTGTTCGATTGGTTCAGTGATCGAGCTCACAGCAAAATAGATGTTCGATTTTGTTCGATTGCCGAATTCAATCGAACGATTGGTGTTCGATTGGCGTCGATTGAATTTTGGTTCGATTTTGTTCGATTAGATACGCCGGGAAGAAGGATTTCGAGATCCACTCTCTTCGTTAGGGGTGCGCGAGCTGTTTTCCGGAACAGCGGCTGATAATTGAGCTTAATAAGCCTTTTCCAGAACCTTATCGAACCTGATCGAACCTCATCTCATTTTTAACCTGGAAAATATTATCATTCTTGTTAGACATTTGAAACCTGAGGGAACCCTCATATGAAAAGGTCAGAGAAGCTCGTCGAAAAAATTGAAGTTAACTTCTAACGGAGACTAATGTGGGCGTTACTCGAACTTCATTACACCCCTAAAAGATACCACTTAAAACGGAATAGGTTGGATTACTAGCCACTGTTCAGAAAGGAACCCGCGCGCACTTGTAGACCCGACTCACGTACTCAAGAGACCCCGCCCCCCCTTCCCCGCCCTGGTCAAAAGAGCGGCACAAATCAAGCCTAAAATGGAAATTAAATGTGAGCGTTTCTTTATCATCATTTCTTCGAGTGGACCCTAAAGGATATTTTGACAGCTAAAAGTGGTGACATTTTCCATCAACACCTTAAGCGAGACCAGAACCATTTTTTTGTACGCAAGACTACGAGTATCCCCGGCTTTTTCATACAAGAGTTCCCTTCCATGACCCCCGGGGTTCGAAAATCTGCCGTCTAAGGCCGTTTCACAGTCGCTTGCACTGTGTCAAGTTAGGTATTCTTTGAATTTCTGACGCAAGTACTCAGTATCTTAGCGCAGAGATGATATGCATTGAATAGATTTTCGCACGAAGGTTTTTTTTTATATAGAAGGGTTATAAAAGCTAAGTATGTAAATGAAGTAGCTCATTTAACGCAGGTGTTTGCTTAACTGCAGGTTTAACCGTACTCTATAGCTGAAAGGGAAGTTATTGAAACTTACCAAATTGATGCGCTGTTTGAATTTTCGAATGATTCAAGCCGTGATTAATTAAAAGTTTTAGACGATCAACAGACAAGAAAATTAATTGAAGAGCATTCGAACGACTAGTTTCGCTATTATTTATACGGTATTGTGTATAAATACACGTAAACACGGACATGGCGAAATGATATGAACAAAAAGTTGATAAGTGGAAGAAAAGACTTAACACAAGGCTGGGAGTTCTGGAAAGGAAAGAAAAAGAAAAAAAAAAGAAGTTATTGCAACACGGGGTATTCGAATTTGGTCACCCAGCCAAGTAGGAACCCCGCCGAACGGGGCTTAAGTTTGTTGAGCGGACGAACCTTTATAAGGTATGAGGACGGGAAGGCGAGGCGGAAACGGCTGTGGACGCGGGCAATTTTCGCGGGTCCTGTCGTGTCGCCAAATACAAAAATGCTTTTCGTAAAGGACGGCGACGTCAATAACTTGAGCTCCGTTAAAGCTATTCACAAAAGCAATGACATCCTTTAGACAAAAGAGATGGTAGAAATGTTATCCGAACAGTCGATACTGACTTTATTCTTCATTATAAGTCTGACGCAGACTTCACCATATCAATGGTTGATTTACTTGGAAAAAAAGTTTGTTCATGTTCTTCTGTATTATTCTACAGAAATCGGAAGCAGAACGGAAGCCAGTCATTTAATTTGCGACTCACCTGAACAACCAAATAGGTAAACTCGTACACAGGTCAGAAAGAACGGAAATTTGTCGGTGGGTATTCGGATATATCTGGCCGCTACTGGTCTGCTTGCGTACGAGATATTACCAGATGGTGTCTTCTTATCGAACTGTTAAGAAGATTCAAGAGATAAGATTCCATTAACTTACTGCAATTAAATAATTATTAATATAAAATGCGTTTAAACGCGGAAAACAGAGATTTGTTTACATGGGCTTCAGAGCCGACAACACTGGCTTCATTACCCTACTTTGAATACCAAAACTTAAAGCTGGTCTTAATTTTTTTTATAGTGTACGTTTCTATCCGTATTGTGATGAAATAGATGTAGTGTTCAGTGTAAACTTTTAAACACTCTGCTTTTATCTTTTCAAATCTTCTTACAACATAAAGTTGGCTTTTATGAAATAGCTTTTAATTGCAATGGCCAAACTGAATGTGTTACTGAACAAAGAATATAAACTAGTTTCTTACAGTATCTCTATTTTCAATGGGTTAGCTGGTTAATGCCGGCCTTACACATTGTAAAGCCTGGTTTTCACCACGACATAAGCACAAGCAAAAGCATAATCATAATGGACTCCCAAAGCCCAAGTATAAGTACAAGCAGGGCAAAAAATTTTGTTTGTCTTGTGCCTGTGCTTATGTCAAGCGAGAACGTGCTGCTGGAGGCATAAGCATAAGCATAAGCATAAGCGAAAGTCCGCCATCTTGTTTTGATGTATCTAGTAGCTATGGAACTGCAAATAAGGGAATTATCCTTTTTGCGCATGCCTACTACTTACATGCTTGTGTTCTGGGCGTCCTCACTACCGTTATGCTTATGCAGGTGCTTATGTCGTTGTCAAAACCAGGCTTTAACGTCGGAAGTTAAAACGTCACAGCATTTTACAGGTTGTGTCAAACACTGTGTCACAGTGCATGTATTTTCTGCCATACCACAGCAGTTATTCTTTACTTCGGTGTTGTTTCATTTCGTCGAAGGATATGTTTACCGAAAACCAGTTTTCTTCTGGCAGCTTTAAGGAACAACAAATATTTAACAAATGTGACAGAAACAAGCTAGCTATTCAACGAGGTATTTCGGTTGAAAACATGAAACTGGATGTTGAGTACAAGGCAGAATTAGCCACGTTTAGTACAGTAAATTGTTACAAATATTGCCTCTCCACTTATCAAGAATACTGTATCGCTAGATTATTACAATGACAACGAGCCCTTACCCGGTTTCGTTTGTTGCGATCAGCTGGGCTGTAAGGATTATTTACCAGTTTCTTCACAGCCCTTAAATTTCCTTTCTCGGCTGCCAAATGAAGTGGCGTTAAATCAAACTGTAAAAGTAAGAAAGAGAAATGACATGATCAGGCATAGTGACCAAATATCTTATCAGTAGCAGATTAAAGTAGCAATCTCTAAACGGGCCAGTAGTGGGTCGAGAAAGAAAAAAAATTTTGAAAAAAACTGAAAAACTGATTTAAACCTTTTACTCTATTAATAAGAAAGTGAAAAAAACATACAGAGTCACTTAGATTTGTGTCTGCTCCATGTTTTAACAGCATTTCCATGAGTTCTTCATTGCCGTTTACATCCCACACCACAAAATGGAGGGGGGTTCTACCAGTCTATATGGAAACACAACACGTCAAATCAACTTTATTATTTTCCTTGTATACGTCCAGTTAAAATACAGACATAATGACCAACAACTAGAAAATAAAGAAAACAAATGTAAACAAATGAAGAAAGCAGATAAACGATTGAATTTGTTAGTAGTTTTATATTGAACCTAATTCATAAATTGTTAGCTTTTCAGGTATCACAAGGTTTTAGGCCGTAAATATTTCAGAGAACGCATTTTAAAGAAAGCAGTACATTGTACATTGTATTCTTATAAAAACTAACAGACTCTACTTCGTTGTTAGCGCTGAAACAACGCCTGTGTATGTGACAGCTGCAAAATAAACATATCAAAAGTCTTACTTTCTTGCCAGAAAGTTGCTTTAATGAAAGGGCAGTTTCCTACAAGATGGTAAGACTCCCTATTAAAACCTTGCTTCTGTTGAAGCTTCGTATACTTTTAAGACAGTAACTATTAAACAAGTCTGAAAGCAAGCCAAATATTGAAAGTGGGAATTTTCCCGAGAAAATTCTAAATCTAGAATAGGATCTGGGTAGAATAATCTTTCTACCAAGCTTCTTAAGTTTTAAGGTTCTGGATCACAGTACATATTTCCCAAATTTTTGAGTAAAGTATCTCACACTAAATGCATGCCTCGCTAAAATTATGTCCTGCTAAAATTATGTCTCGTCAAAAGTATATCAGACTATTAACGTGTAAACACCAAGACGACATTCTATTTTGTTAACCTTCGTGGGTGCATGAAAGTTACAAAACAGTATCATTTTCTTTCCAGAAATGTTTTATCTTTGAAGAAGACATTTTCCGAAAAGGAAGCCAAGAGTTTCATGTGAAAGTGACTCAGCACTGGAGGCCTCGAGTACTTCCGGGAGAAACGGATTAGTAATTATAAACACAAGAACAAGGGAATTTTCCCGGAAAACTGAAATGTTTGCACTGTGCACTTCACATATTAAAACAATACTTAAGGACTGCATCGGAGGGGAACTAAAAGCACCTGCGAAAAATCAACAAAAACAAGCAGCGTATATCTACTAAAACTGACTTTATTTCGGTTGCTAGTCCAGTAATTTGCCGACTGAATGGCCTTCGACTTGCATTGTTTTCAAAAATAAGCACAATTCTTGAATATATAATTGCTATTCATTTGCTCATACCAGTTTCACGTTCTCGCTCAGTATTCGTATTACTACAAGCAGAATATCGTTGTTATTTTCTGTATTCTCAGAAGCTATCATATTTTGTTTCGTATGATAGGAATACATGTTTGTCTGAATATAGATATGTAGTACTGATAGAAATACGTGATCGATAAGCGGTCATGTGTACTCGTCGCCAACATGTTCACTTCTAAGTTTTGACAATTTCAGGTATAACTCTAGACGTATTTGTGAAATTAAACCAATTTCCTCTTATACTGTAAACCAGAATAAACCTTTAATATTTTATTAAAGCTAAAGTAGAGTTAAATGCAGGCTTCACAATCTATTTTACAGCTTACCTTTCGACTGTCTGGTTCTCGGAAATTTGCTGGCGCGCCGAATTCGAGAAGCAACTTTATTTGTTCCTTGTCGAGCGGATCTCTTTTCAAAGCTGCCCAAAGCTCTTTGCCTATTGCATTTGTATCTTCGTCTTTCTCTCTGCTTGCCATTACAGGAAAATCATGGACATCACGGACTCAAGCACCATTCAAGTCCAAGTGTACTGACCGTCAACGCGAGGTCGATACGTGTTTCTAAGGAATGAAGAAGTGCTCTAAAGCGAGGCAGGTCACGTGAATGTAATAAATGTAACGCAATCATCGGTCACTCAAAACAAACAAACAAGCAAACATGAACAAGTGGAATCCCGTTGTAAAACTACAATATCGATAAATTTTTATACTCAAATAGGATAAAAAAAAGAAAGAAAAAAAAAAAAGAAAGAAAAGGAAAGCGCTGACCTGGACGCCTTGCTTCATTGTTATGTTTCTATTTTTGGGCTGGTCTGATCTTTCACAGATTCTACGTACACCGGCAGCGTTTTCGTTTGCGGCCTCGTGCATTTATTGACAAGTCTCGCCGACAAAAATTCAAGCAAAACAGGCTCTTGGCTGGGGAAGCAGAAAATAAATATAATTTTTGGTTCAGGACCAAAAAGAAGACGCGTTTCAATCTAAATAACTTGAAATTATCGACTATCAATGGAAAAGGAAACACTGAGCCTGTAACTGAAAATTTGCCAAATAAGAGTGACTGCATTTCTATATGGAATAATCACGTGTTGTAATTATAAAGTTTTCAACTTTAAGTCCAATTCAGTTTATTTGGAAAAGATTCGTAAAAAATTTAACGATGTTTGGAAAGAAATATTTTTGGAACCTTCAAAAAATTAAAAACA